GAATTTAGGATGTCCTAAGTCTGAGGCACGATACGAAAGCCCACAGTCTAGTGTTCCATTGACACCGGATCACAATCTTTTGGGGCCTGTGCCTGTGGTACTTCCCAAGCACAAACCTGGGATCCGCTGGCACCGACGAAGATTGATTGATTGAGAACACGGATCATCCGCAGTTCTATCTTTGTTTTCAGCAGCTGTGGCACAGATTGTCTCTATTGCAGCTCCTGCGGTTCAGGCAGACAGGACTCTTCTCATGCTGGGAAGAACAGAGACCTACACTCCTCCTGAGGTCATCTTCGCTCTTCCAAACCTGGAGTCTCCCACTCCTTTGGGTCCCTCCCTTTTGAGAGAGGTGGTTATTCCACCAGGGAGCCATCCTTTGGAAGGAGTTTGTCTCCCATTCCATCTTCGGGTTGTGATTTTCTTCCAGTGGCACCCTTGGTAGCAGCACTGTAACTGGAGGTTCTTCGAGATTTGTTGTCTAATCCATCTGTATTCCACTGTCTGCCCTCCTTCCCCTCTGCGTCGGCTCTTCTCTGATTCATGGTGGAGAAAGAACTGGAGAGGCAGTCGGTCTGATCTGCCATTTATCTCCTTGGTCAGAGGCCTGAGCCAGGGCACAAGTGTGGACCATCGGACACCGCTTTCAAAATTCTCCAGCTCTGGGCACGTTGAGCACATTTGTACCCACAGTGGCATACAGATAGTGACCACACATCTCAAAGAACCTCCAGTTACTATAAGATAAGTACATTTCCCTTTTTGATGACGGTTCACACCCCAGAGCTCTTTTGTACTGAGACTGCTACTTTGAATGACATTTGAAAGGCTTTCTGTGCAACCATAATGCCTAGAAACATCGAAAAAATGAATGCTTATGTTCTGCAGACTAGCAGTTTGAAACCTCTAGTCTAGAGCTTTTGTATTTGAAAATTTACTACTGTACATTACTGATAACTGAGGTGTGGAGCAGGAGCAGTGAGAGTAGCAGTTAACAAATTGGAAACGGAGAGACAGGCTGTGTCTCCTGGGGAACAAGTGAGTGATGGGGTGTAAAGTTCACTGTTTAAATAAGTGAAATTTGGAGATTATCAGAGTGGCAGGATTATCACTGATTTTGGAGGTTGTGAAATAGAACATGCATCAAATTTGAAGTTGGAGCTGTGGGTTATTCATAATTCTGAATTGCTTGATCAAGTCTTCAACTCTTTCTTAAAATTCTGTACACCTCAGAGTACAACCCTGCTTCATTTTAGTCTAATGTTGGCTAATAACTTGTGTTAACTGTGGGGAACTGGGAGAGAGGTGACACCGGTGAGCCTCGGTGGGAAGGATCATATTTCCTGAGTGGAATGGATGAATTAAGAAAAATATATCTTATTTCTCGTTCTAGGTAAATGCTTAGTAGGGCTTCTTGGACATCTTTTAAAAATAAAATTACACTTGAGACAATCTGCTCCCTAGCTCAGATCCTAGATGGTGTGAGAAATCTGTGCTTATGTCTAAGTCTTTAGTAGATGATTTAGTCCCTAAACTTATAAGACCTCCAATTAGGGACGAAGTGGGTGAGGTAATATCTTTTATTGGACCCAACCTCACCCACCTGGTCTCTCTAGTATCCTGGGACCGACATGGCTCCAACTACACTGCGTACAAACTCTCCAGTGTCTGATTTCTTGGCCCTCACTCTTAAGAAAAACTGTACTACTATAGAAAGGACCATAACCATGATTTAGTACAGCTTTGGTTTAATGGTGATCTTACTAGAGAGAGCACAAAATAGCTACCTCACTGTTACTGTAATGCAGGATGTGGCTTGGAGACACCTGTCTTATGGATCAAGGTCTACTGCTGTGGGAAGTAGCTAATAGTCTTTATGGAAAGAGTGAAACCTTGATAAACTTTCAATCCATTTATCATTGCCTGTAGTTCCTATTTTGAGGCATCTGAAACGATAATGAAACAGAGCAAATAACACTATGTAGTGTGTTATGTCTACTGTTTGGCATTGCCATAGACTTGGTAATGAAGAAGGATGTTTGCAATGTGAGTAGATAGCAAATGCCTAGAAGGTCTAGACTTTGCCAGTGAGGTTGCACTACAGAGCGTCACTGCCCTAAAGCTTCTAAGACAGATAACATGGCAAAAACAGTAGGCCAAGCATGGCTCAAAATTAAGTGCACCAAAACAAACATCCTCAAAACGTAGATGTCAAGCATCATCATCACAGTAGAAGGCAAAAGGAAAGGAGAACAGTTCCTGGGCAGCATCATACTAACCAATGGAGACCTTAAGAAGGAAGCAACATTTAGACAGGAAAAGCATCCACAGAAGTTACTTAACTCAACATATGGAAATCAGAGATACTAGAAAAAAACTGAAATCAAAGATGTCAGAACAAAACTGAGCATTTTCAATTCAAACATCATCTCCGTGCTAACGTACGGCTGCGAGAGCTGGAGATCTACCAAAGCGTTGGACCACAACTAGACTCCTTCAGAAATAAGTGCCTATGAAAGATCCTGGCCATTGGATGGAAAGACTTCATCACCAACGAAGCGATCAAAGAAATCGCCAACCTCTGGGTGTAGGAAGGGAAGAACAGTAGATAAACTTTCGAGGGTAGGGGAAAGTACAGTGTCACCTAATTCATGAGACTCCTTCCCCTGGGATCTTTCATAAATCATCTTTTACTTCTGCAGTGGTGTGAAAGCGAATGTTGCTTGTTGGATAGGTACATTTGTAATCACAGAACTTGTTTTATAAATTTGTCATGATTTGCATACAATACGTCTGGACTTCATGTGATTGCTTTTTAAGTAATTTTCCAGATTTAAGTGCAGATGATTTTAAATCTATAATTAGATACAAAAATGCAATGCTCTTATGCAATGCAGTGAGTGTTCTTTAAAATGCCTTCAAATTCAGTGTCCCCTTAATTACAGTCCTATGGATTTATGGACATACACTGTACAGTACATGCTGACACCAGGAACAAGAGCTGGCCAGTCTGTCTATAAACAGTGTGCTGTGGTATGCAGTGTCGTGGTACTTAAAGAATTTAGTGAACCCTGTATGAAGTGCATGAAAGACATTTATCATTTCACTATGAAGTTATATTATGTCTGCAGAGTATTCAGTACAATGCAGAAAGTGAGTGCTTTCCAGACTTCAAGACCACTGTTTTTCTTTAGTGATAGTGGGTACCTGACTTGGTTACATTGTTGGAAGTTATGTTAATGACTTAAATCATAATGGATGTGCAGTGAAACACCCAGTGGGTTTCATCTTGCTCTAAGCTTGTTTGTCTATCTATAGACTTTTTTTCTAGATCAGAGGTTTTCTTTGCTAAGTCACAATAATTTGATGTCAGTTGGAAAGATCCCTTATGGAATTCAATAGGGAAACTTTGCTTACTAGACTCTGAAGCCATTGACTCTTTCACAGCGAGGCACACCCTCTTACGTATGCATATTTCTGGGGCGATTAATCATTGAAGTCTGTGAAATGTCGGGATGTCCCAGATACATGGAAGTAGCACAGAAAGCGTTCCCCTATTGCGTGCACCCAATCACATCAGACAAGTTAAAGCAATTCAGAGAGAAATCCTAATGGAATTCATTCCTTTGAAATGGCCATAGTCAAGGTATATGTAACTACACCTCTACCTCGATATAATGCTGTCCTCGGGAGCCAAAAAATTTTACTGCGTCATGGGTGAAACCACGTTATATTGAACTTGCTTTGATTTGCCGGAGTGCGCAGCCTTGCCCCCCCGGAGCACCGCTTTACTGCGTTATATCCGAATTTGTGATATATCGGGGTAGAGGTGTACTTGCTTTTCATCACTTGGAAGGCTGATACTGAAATCAGTCTCCCCACCGAAATGTGTTCATTAATCAGACATGCTTGCTACCCTATCAGTAGAGCATGATTGCTGGGCTATTGGCAAGTATATATTGCATTAAAATGCACTGAAATGTTTTGGGGTTTAGGAAGTGAAAAGAACCTACACCGATTACACAAGCTTTCCAAACCAATTCGTAGTTACATACATTAATAATTTTTTTCAATCTTAGTATCTTTTAAGTAATGACTTCAAGCTGACTTTTCTTTAGCCTCCAGTGCCATCAAAGGTTGAAGTATCAGGGAATGCAAACCATATATTTTGTGGGGTTTTTTTTTTTTTTTTTTTTTTTTTTTTTTTGATTACAGTGCATCCATAATCTAAATAAAACTTAATTATTGAATTCAATTGATGTCTGTTATAAGGAACTTTTTATAGGGTCGTGATTGAACAAACAATAGTGTAACTTCCTGAAATGAAAGCAAATTAGTGTCACAGGGAAAACCTGTTTTTTTGTTTGTTTGTTTGTTTTTTAAGTGGGCAGTCAGAAAGCATCACAACCTCATCGGTAAGATATTGTTAACAGGAACTTGACAGCTAAGTACCTTGAAGAGTTAGGTGGAATGATAATTTATCTAAAATTCTAGATTTGAGTGCTGTAACAGATTTTTCCCTTAATCCTCTACTAAGAATGTAGGCTTACAAACTACTTAAGCATTGCAAATATACAACCAATGTGTCTGTATGTGCCTCTAATATAATGTTTCAAGGTGTAAGTTAATGATTACAGGGATCAGGAAGGAATTCAATATGTGGCATTTCAAAGGTGCCAGGAGCATTATAGGGTTTTTGCCTTCCTCTGAAGCATGTATGAAAGACTTTTTGTAAGTGCGAAGTATTACCGTTGGGTATTGAACACTACTGATGGCATAATAGACTGTCTAATTCAGTATGGCATTTCTTATTATTCTAGGGACAAATCCCTATTACATTTTCAACTTAAAAGATCAGTAGCAATACTTTGTGGTTAGTTCACTGTACCTTTTCCTTCAAAAGATATATACTGTAGTGTCCTTGTTAATGCAAACTGAATTATTTGAATATTTTTGGTAGTGCATGTTATGACTGAAACTGTTTTTTCCTTGTTTTGTAGGACTCTGTTGCATTGAGACCAACAATCCAATTTCAAGGAAACCAAGGGGTAAGTTTGTGTATGGGTCTGGCTGGAAGGCTGTCCCATGGGTGTGAATTCCGACTGCTTTGACGTTAACCTATGTGAGATCTGTCCTGGGTTCAAAAATGCATTAGGTAAATTCACGGAGAATAGGTCCATCAATGACTATTGCATCCTGGACCATCTTGGCTAACTCCCATGTTCCTGGTGTCCTTCAGCCTCCAACTGCCTGAAGCTGGGACTGGACAATGGGATAGATCACTTGAAATTTCCCTGTTCTGGTTGCTGCCAGAAGACTGGATACTGGGCAAGATGGACCACTGGTCTGACCTAGTTTGGCTGTTCTTATGCATGTATCAAAGTCTACCTTACTGGGTGATGGGTGTGTTTTTTGTTTTTTGTTTTTCTTTTTTTAAAGCATTGAGTTGTGCGCACACAGTGTTGTCCAAGTGAGAGCATTGGGTGTTTCTACACAGACTGCCTTTCCTTACAGTTTCTCACCATTGTTTATCACTGTTGATAACCATGGTGGGGCACATTAAAAAAGCCTTGCTGCCAAGAAGAATGAGGAAATCAAAAATACAAGTGATACTACTATGTGTGATAAGTGTAGCAATTCATGGAAGCCTTGCCTATGCCCTGGGGAAACACCTCACCCAACCTGGCAGTTCTGATGCTACATTTTGAGGTGTGAATCAGAATAATGCTGGTAGACTGAAGTATTAGTGCGCTGTGATATTTGGCTTGACATAAAGTCAGTCCCAAGCAACTGTGCAGCTCCTATGTTGAGCATAGCCCAAAGTTCTTCTGTTCAGGAGTCTTGGTTCCTTTATAATTTCTCTTCCTTTTGCTGAATTCATCCGATGTTTATGGAAGCATGAAACTGTCTTATTTAGTTACTGACAATGGAGGGGCTAAATTTCCATGATCTCAACTAAAAGTAACTCCACACTTTGAGACCTTTTAAAGCTGTCACTGGTAGATCTTTAAATACAAAAGGTGTTATTTTTAACATTGGGACTCTGAACGAGAAAAAAGAAAAATAATTCTTCATCAATTCTGCTGCTCAGTTCTTGACGCACTCTTTGTATCGAAGCATTACATGAGTCTTAGAATTGAGTCATTTTAATTATCATGTGTTGACATGCTTAGGCATAGGAAGGCGAGTTAAGAATTGACTAGCTGCCTTAATACTATATACCCTTCTTGATTTTGTTTAAATGATTTCCTTTAAAGGACAATTCTACTCTGAATGGCACTGTACGTTCCCTTACTGGGTATGTTTCTGCTGCAGTTCGACGCCAGCTGACTTGGGCTAAGGGGCTATTTAATTGTTGTGTAGACATTTGGGCTTGGGCTGCAGCCCAAGCTCTAGGATCCTCCCACCTCGCAGGATCCTAAAGCCTGGGCTCCAGCCCAAGCCTAAATGTCTACACCGCACTTAAACAGCCCTTAGCCCGAGTCCTGGGAGCCCAAGTCAGCTGTTTGTAATTGCCATGTAGATATTCCCACTATGTCTTAACTCCAGATCAAGTTTGGTCCGTTTCCAGGATGACTTTTATTCCTAATCACTAGTAGCGCAGACTTACCCTGGAGTCTGAAACAAGTTGTGTTCTTTCTACAAACCAGGTTCTGCTTTGTGTGATCCCCTTGTCTTGTTTGTGTGTTTGCACAGCTGTAACTGAACACTGAATATGGTCCCTGTTTTAAAACTTGGTTTTGAAAATTTTGACCTGAGTACCTGAACTTGAGCTCCTAAATTCATATTTAGTAACCTAAATAAAAAATGGCCTTAGAGTGCTGAATATGTGCAGCTTTCAATGTAATTTATGAGTTGAAGTAAATTGTGTCATTCTGCGTTTACATCAGTGTGAGAGAACTTGGCCCTAAATAAAGATAATGAACACGTGGAGCCCAAGTTGTGGGCAAAAGCTGTTTTGAACAATTTCTTCTCTAAATAGAATTAGTTACAGAAACAACAATGGCTACAGAATCAACAGTGCCTATTTAATCAGTGATTACCAAGATGGTTCTAAATACTCTGGTTTGAACACTTATTTTTGTAACCAAGTTATAAGAACTTCTATCAAAGTAGGTAGTTTAGGTTGAAATGCAGTCCCAGCATTTAATTGAACCAAAGTTTATATATAGCCGGCAAAACGTGCAATTTTTTCCCCCAGGTGCGCACGCAACACTTCCAGCACAAGGCTGCTGAGCTATTTGGAAAAGAAAACAAATATGAGTATAATATGTAGCCCAAAGGAGAGTGTTGTGGTTGGCACAGAATGGGACTGTAAATTTGAAGTCAGATTTTTAAATTGCTTATGTAAAGGCAATTTCTTATCCCTTTGTTTAAAGGGCCCACTTTATGCCCTCAGATATAATTTGCCTGTTAAAGCTGCTTTCCCTTGTTAAGATGAGAACTTTGTCAAATGTATGTTTGGCTCCTTCCCAACCCTGTTTAACCTTAACTTTCATGAGCCCCAAAAGTATACAAATCTCTTCCTGGATTTTGTAATAGGGTTTGTACCTACGTCCAAGGCATTTTCATTTTAAATAATTTCACACTGAATCGTTGGCTGCAGCGTTGGCCAGCAGGTTCTGGAAGCCTTCCTTGCTGCTGCCAGCTCATCCCAGTGGGATGCTGATCTCTAACCCGAGGGAGTCTTTGGGATGCTGGATTGCGATGGAATTCTCTGGCTGTCATCTTGTAGTAGTCTTAAACCTCATGTTGTTGTGATGACATGATTTACCTCTCCAATGTGGCTGAATATACAGCGAGGCCAGTCTCTCCTGACCACTCAGTGAACGGATAGGGATTGGTTGTGTAGTGGAAATGACAGGTCTTTTCATAAAAATTCAAATAAATTCAATGTTGATAAATGTGAAATACATGTTGGAGGGAATATTTAGAACTCACACATCTTCTAGATGTATTTAACTGGATGCACACAGGAAAAGTGGGGCATTATCGTGGTCAGCTCAATAAAGACCTTTGTTCAACATGCAGCAGAAGTCAAAGCAAACAAAATGTTAACATGCATAGGGAATGTGTGTGAGAACAACACACACGCAATGCTATAATGCCTCCTAAAAATAGTTTGGCCTCACATGGAATGTTCAGTCCTGGTCACTCGATCTGAAAAAAAGATGTAGCTGATTTAGAGGGGGTAGGGAAATGGGCAACAGGAATGAATTGGTGGCATGGAAAATTGCTGTCCTATGCAGATTGAAAAACTGGGGACTACTTCCTCTAGAGGAGATAAGAGAACACGTTTTAAAAATACACAAAATAAATGGTATAGAGACAGGAAATCAGGAGCACTGTTCTCTGATTTAAGTTGATGTGGATCCTATTGTAAGTGTGCATGTGCCACGTGCATGTACGATTGGATTTTTTAAGTAACTGTCCGTCCAGGCCATGCATGCACCCTATGTCCCCTCGTACTCCTGTATCAGGGCATAAAAAGTGGGGAGGCCAAGACCTTCCCTCCATTCCCTTTTACTACTTGTGGCAGCAAGATGGAACCTAGTGAGTGTCCAACTTGCTGGTTCTTAGCTTTGGCTACATTTATTTAAACACTTCATAACAATGTCCAGAACTCTTCTGAGTCTGACATGCCACTGCTGTAACAGTATCAGTCCATCTGGAGTGAATGTTCAGCCAGACACGGATGCAGGCCTTCGCAACATGGCGGATTTGAAACCTGTGGGCTTCAGGCACTACCTATCTTGTGACGGGCTCATTCCACTGAAAGAGGAACACAGCAGGTGCCTCGTCTGCTTAGGAGAGTCCCATGTACTGAGCAGTTGTGCTTGCCAGTCACCTGCAGTGGAATCCACATGGACATGGACTTGAAGAAAGAATGGTCACTTACCCTACAATGACCGTGGTTCTTCGAGATGTTATTGTCAGTGTCGATCCCACAACTCGCCCTCTATCCCCACTTTTCAAAGTCCTCAACAACATTGGCTTTGAATTACAGGGGAAGTGAGGGAAGGTTGTGGCTCCCCCCATAATGCCTGCAGTGGAATCCATACTGACTACCACCTCTTGAAGAACCAGAGGTACTGTAAGGTACCTCTCTCCAATACAAGACCAAGGGGACCGTCAATGAAATTAAGTGTCAAATTCAAAACCAATAAATACTTCCACACAACATAACTAACCTGTGAGGCTCATTTCCACAGGATATCACCGTCCAAGAGCTTATCAGGATTCAAAAAAGGATTATTGGTAACACGAATATCTAGAGGTCTTATGGCAAATAATAATAATAATAATAATTAAAAAAAGGAAGGGATATAAACCCTCATGTTTCAGAGCATCAGTCAAGCTTTAATTATTGAGGGTCAGCAGGAAACTTTCCCTGGGGCGAGCTATCCCATAGCTGTCTGAAAAGTTTCTTACAGCTTCTTCTGAAGTATGTGGGACTCCCCTTTGTTGATGGAATACTCTACCATGTGGCCACTGGTCTGTTCCCGAATGGCAATTACTACATTCCTAGTAGAGGTGGAACAGATTTGTACTCAAATTTGGGGAGATATGGGGCAGTTTCCAAGAGAGATCTTAGCTTATAAGCAGGGATCTTGTGTCTCGGTTTCACTGTCTTGGAAAATGAAGTAGAGCAAAATTACAGAGTCTATTTCTTGGAAGCAAAGTTTTACCTTCTGACTCGCCATCACAGGATTGCAGCTGAAATGAGAATTTAATTCAAACGCTGTGCTCAGCTCCCTGTCTCTTTTATGATTCTGCAGCCGTGGAATTTGCTGCAGAATCCACCCCTCGCCAAAGAAGTGTGCAGCAGAATCTATGCTGTCATTTTGTAAATATTACACTTCTAGCCCTTATGTGGTTGCAAAGAAAATCTTCCAAATGTGAGCGTTAAATAGGTGTTAACAAACTCTAGTAATCCCTTCCCTGCGCAGGTGCTCACCTTTCAGTGCCTTGTAGTTTCGCAATCCCATTAGCTCTCCAGCCCACCAACAAAACAGGGAAAGCAAGGTATAATAGCTTTGGTAAGGTT